ACCCTGAGTGCGACATCCATGTGCATCACAGCCCTGAAATTTTGGCGAAGTCCCCAATCTCTAGAAACATTACCCCCACACACAGCAACCTAGAAAAATGGCCAAGTCCTAATTGTACAGACATTCCCCCTACACACCCCACAAAAATCGACAAATATCGGCTAAGTCCTGTAGTACAGACATTCCCCCTACACCCGCAACAACCCACAAATAATCGCTTAAGTCCTAGTAGCCAGAGTATCACCCTCCTCAACAAAAATTGTCTAAGTCCTCGTGTACAGACAGACATTCCCTCTCCCTCCCGCAGACATTCCCCTCGATGTCGATCCCCCCCCTCACCTCCGTTTGGATCCTCGTCCCCCCTCCGTTTCGCTTCCCCGCTCCCCTCAGGTTTTGAAATCCCTCCCCCTTCCCCCTCGATTTCAAATCCCCCCTCCCCTCCTTTTAACTCCCCCCCCTCGAGCTGTGAGCTGCCCGATTTTCACTTCGTCTGGGAAATCAGAAATAGACGTCCCCCACGATTGGTTTTACGGTACCCTGATTGCTCAGTGTCGTGATATAAAAAAAGAAGTTTCCATCACCCTGATAAAAAAAAATCGCAGATTCAGCAGTGTTGCATAGGCAAATCTCGCTTTTCCACTAGGGTCCTGTACGAAAAAAAAAAAACGCTGATTTGGCGAACAAGCAGAGAAGTCTTTCACATTTTTTGTGTGTTTTGTTTCAGCTCGATTCGAAATTCGACAGCTGACGTTATCAGGGTATTTTACAAGGGTACTACATACAATGGCCAATCATGACAAAGATTCTGCCACTAGTCAGGGGAGAGACAACTGTTTTTTTCTAGCAGCATTGGTTCATTTCGGAATTTCCCCCAGGCCCCCAGTTCCCCCAAAAAATCCACCACACTTTGACGATCACGATCGAACGCGATCGTTTCGACGTTTCTCAGCTGTTCATCATTGGTCAGTCATTAACGGCTCATATTTGCGTGATCTGACACCACCTGCTGACATGTCTCCAGCAATCGAATGTTCTTCCAGAGACTGTACACCAGGGCCTGAGCTAGTTTTTTTGCCGAATGTACACCAGGGCAGCTCCCGAATGTACCGGGCTTTGAGAGGTGTGGGGTGAGATTTGGGGGAGGGTTTTGGGGAGGGCGGCGAGTTTGGGCGGGGGCAAAAGTTGAGGCCATAAAAACACGGGATTTGAAGCAGGCCCTCAGATTGGTTTAGAGGTAGCCTGATTGCTCAGCCCTCCCCCCCCTAGAGAACCCTGTTTTTTCCGTCCCCTCCCTTTTTTCCGCTGATTTTTCAGGGCTGTGTCAATATTTTAAGCTGAGTTTTTAGGGTGATCGAATACATTTAAGCTGAGCAGAAAACCATAGGCATTGTATTATAAGAGCAGAAAATCTACTCATCGTCTTCTTCTTCCATACACTCTACAACTACCACCACACCAACATCATCATTCTCTTTCTCCTTCCCTTTCTTGCTACCACGGTCTTGGATCTGAGGAGCATTGCTGTAGGGCTTTCTCTTCTTGTATGCCCTCCAGATTTCTACAACTGCTGCCCAATCGGGCTCATAGTCTAGCAAGCTAAGACACATCAGGTCCCCAAGACGTGTATCCTTCATGCTGCCACGCAAGGTACTCTTCATCTTGTTCTGGCGGGAGAACCCGCACTCGCACTCTACGGTACTAAGAGGCAAGACGGCAATGGCACACCAGAGCTTCACCAAGTTGGGGTAACTATGCTGCCAGTCTGGTGTCTTGAGCATGGCGGTGAGACCAGTGAAGAAGCCCTTGTCACCTTTCGGAAGGGCAGCAAGAACCAGGGTGAAGTGCGGGATTTCTTTGACAGCTGCAAACTTGTCGATGCCGGGCAGGATCTCGGCAGCCTCGCCAGCATGGTAGAGGTCGACGAGGGACTCGCACCAGGCAAGGCACTGGGCATTCCGGGGAGCTCGTAGCCAGCCCACTGGCCACTCATCCGCGGCGAACATTCTGGAGCCGATCAGCTTCTCCACATCCCCCAGCCGCTCTTGCAGGTTGTTAACCAGCCCCTCCGCCAACGCCATGCACTCCACCACACAGTCATCGTGCTTCCACCCCCCAGGATAGTCCAGAAGCCCTCGGTCATGCAGGATAAAGGTGAAGCGTGCTGAGCTGCCGTCGGACTTCAGGCCTTCAACGGTGACGCTGCGCGAACCGCCAGGGCCGTGACGGGTGAGGAATCCTGTGAGGCAGACTTTCGGCCCCCCGGTGAAGTCGTCGCCGCAGTCGACGTAGCGGCTTAGGAGGAGGGACTTCACGCGACTGATTGCCGAGTTGATGGAGCCGAAGTCCAGCTGCGAGCGGGGGGGACATAGACAGAGTAAGGCAAGTCATAGTAAGTATGGATTTAAACAAATAGGCAATTTAACATACCTCACGTGCTTGAAAGGTCTTGTTGAGAGTGTTGAGCAGCTCGAGAACATCAGCAAGAAACATCAGCATGATCCAGAAACGGTAAGAGGTGACAATGTTGTACAGCCGCTTGTCAGGAAACTCTAAGAGCATGACAACGATTGCAGGGAGAACATTGACAAGACGAATGACAGCGTCACCTCGAGACAGCCACCGAACGTGAAAAATGCCCTGCATCTTGAGTGACGTTGCCAGAAACACGTCCTGGAGCTCCAGAAACCGCCGGTGCCACGGCCCCGAACGACCAAGGAACTCGGCCAGTTCACGAATCACATCGTCGATGATCTTGAAACCGGGCACCTCTTCTGCAACCGCCTTCACAGCCAGTGCCTCTCTGCGCACATACAAATGATGCACGATACATAAGGGTGTTAATACGTACAAAGACCCGTTTAAGTAAACGCCACTCATATTAAAAAAAAAAAAAAAAAAAAAAAAAAAAAATGATGCTTACCTGTGTGCTATGCAGTGACAAGACACCAAGTGAGGAATCTGGTGTCGCAGGCGCGTCACCAGACCCCCTTTCACTCCCATCATCACAGCCGCACCATCGGTGCTGATGCCGGCGACCCGCCGCAGGTCTACGCCGATCACCCCCAAGTGTGAGAGCAACAGAGCGAGCAGGGACGCAGCGTCCGCCTTGTCCACCGTGATCAGAGTGAGATACTCGCAGACGACACGATTCTCACAAATGAATGTAGCGAAGACTATCAGATGTTTCCCCCTGCAGCGATCCGTGCTCTCATCCAGACTGATGCCCATGAATGGGATTCGAAGCAAGTGCTCGAGTTGCGTGGTCTGCAGCCAGGTTGCGGTTGACAGGGTGAACTCCCCGAAGCCATAACTGCCAACGAGGATACAACACGCGGAAAAGGATAGACATTCAGGGAAATGTGTGAGATTATTTTTTCTAGGAAAGACATATAACGAAAGACATTCAGGGAAAGCCTTTCAACGAAAGACATTCATGGAATGAGGGTCAGTGAACCACACCACATACGGACCGTACCTATTCATGTAACACCCGTAGCCTTCGTCGGTGAAGTTCTTTACCTTTCGCGCAGCGAGGTAGCGTGAGAACCTCACCCACGACTCCATCGGCTCGTTGGTCTTGCAATAGAGGTAGAGAACGTCGAGAAGAGCTGTGACCCGGGCCGCCTCCATGTCCGACGCGCCAGCAGCATGATCCATCAGTGTCTGTGTCGTCGCCTGCTGCAGCAGCGTCGTCTGCTTCGCGAACGCCAACAGATGCTTAGCCGTCCCAGCATGGCAACTGAATGCTTGCTTCTGCGCGTCCTTGATCTCGCTGCCACGTCGCCCAGTCTTGCCACTCAGACCTGCATGCTCGATGCACACGGAACACTTGAAGGCAGGAAGTCCATCGGGCATTTTTTCAAGGAGGAGCCATGGAAACTCGTCTTGCCACTTCGTGTTGTAGTGGCGCTGTGCATCCGCATACTGCTCGTCTGCTGAACGCATGGGTTTGGTGGCGGAGGGAGGATCATCTTCATCGTCCTCCTCGTCAGAATCAGGCACCCCGGATGCCTCGTTTCCCGTCATCTTCGGGCGAGCAAATGGAAGAGTGGCCTGTCTGTAACGACCGGAGCGCTTAGCCGGAGTACCAGCCGTAGTAGCTGGGATCTCGGGTTCAGCAGTGGAGGGGCCGGCAGTGGGGTCGCTGTTAGACCCAGCCGCAGCGTCACCTACAGAACCGCCAGCTGGCTGACATGTGGGACTATGCACGGCGCTCCTAACCCTAGGCGGGATACGCGTCAGGCTTGAGAGGGTGGAGAGTAACAAGTCTAGACCCATGTGAGAGTCCAGGTGCCAAGTACTGTCAGGCTCGTTGGGGTCGCCTGGCTCGACCATGGCGTCTGCGAGTCGAGCAGCGTGCTGCAATGACTCGCAGACACAGAATGACGAGGAGAAGTAATGTTCAGGGGAAAAGCAGGCGGGAGCAAGAAATGGCGCTAGCAGAAGGGGCGTTGCCGTGTGGGGATGAAAACGCCAGCCAATATGGGATAGTTGCGTGCATGAACGCGATGTGCTGGTTCCCTTGTCCGCGCCGCCAGGTAACTGCCACGTTCTGTCGCGCGAGGTTATTTGCAACTGCTGAACGACGCTGGTCTATTGGCTGTCGAAACTGAATTTGGCTAAGTCCCAATCGCTGGGCGAGGTCCTGCTGTGCGCTGGAGCCAGAGTTGCATGGAATCTGAATGTGGTGGATGTAGCGTGGCTGCAATATGCCATTTCACGTGGATTGTGTGCGGCTAACAGTAAATTTGGCGTGATTGGCGGGGGTGTTACAAGGCTGGCACGGAAATTGCGGGGGGGGGGGGGGGATGAGGGAGGGGGAAGTAGATTTCGCTATTACAGGAATCAGGGCTGTTCCGCGATATCAGGCGAACTCGTCAGGGTCCATAGCGGATACACTGCTGATCAGTCAGGGTAGGTTGCACAAAATACCCTAGCAAGACAGGGCTGGTACATAAAAAATCCCTGAAAAAACCCTGAATCAGGGTAAATGGCCTGAAACTGGGGGCCTGATTTGAAGTGTTTGGTGGGAATTCGAATTTCAGGAAATTCTCGACTGGTCTTGAATTCGACCCTGATTGTGTTCTGTGAACCCTGGGATTTTCAGGGTTTCGGATTCCTGAACACTGACAGATCAGGGTAGGGATTTTTCCAAAACAGAGCCCTTAGGGTAAAAAAAAAATTGTAGTCGACAGCTCATGGTGGTTTTTTTTTTAACGTCAGCCCTGTAGCAAGAGCTTCATGTCATATCGCTGCCAGGTGTGTCTCTGCGTTAAAAAGCTGCAGCAGCATCGGTGCGAGCAAACAGTACCGTGCTCCCATCCCCCATCGCATGCACCCGCTTCAGCCCCCACGCCGCAAACGTCTCCTCACACTTGCGCCTCCTCCTCGCCCCGTCCCGCCCCGCCAGCTCAGCATGAAACCTCACCACCACTTGCCCAATCGGCACGCTTCCTGGTGTGGGCCCCACAGGGGTTTTCTCAGCCAATGCCGCGGCGCCATGTCGCGTCAGATCGCCCACGCTGGTGCCGAAGGCGTTCCCCCCCCCTCCTGCTGCTGCATCCTCGCAGAGATCGAGCTCGAGGCCGGCGATGTCCAGCCGTAGGATGTCGATCCAACGGTGGGAATGCATGCACATGAACGTGCGCAGGCGCAGCACCGCTGCCTCCCGGGTCTCTTGAGAGGAGGAGGAGGAGGCAGCGGAGGATGCGGAGAAGGAGGATCCGGCAGCAATGGGGTGGAAGAGAGCGACTCCGTCGCGGGGGCCCAGGGCGAAGGGGCGGAACTGGGGGGAGCGGCGGGGAGTGAGGCCCTTGATGGGCTGCAGCAGGGACGCGAAGGCGGTGTCGTTGACGAAGGGGTCGAACACAAACACCTGCGAGAGGGGGGGAGAGAGGGGGGGGGGGAGGTGGTGTGGGGCTTAAGAGGACATGCAAGGAGTTGAGCGGCGGGGATGGGATGGATTGGGGAGGAAGCGGTGGAGTCACTGACCAAGGGGTTGAAAACAAACACCTGAGAGGGAGGGGAGCCCGACAGGACGTGCAGGGAGGTGAGCGGTGGGGGGATACGCTGCGGCAGAGAGGAGACGGTGGTATGTCATGAACCAAGGCATCCAACATGAACACCTGCCAAGGGGAAAATGAGGGAGGAGGGGAGACGTCACAGGAGGAGGAGTAGTGAGCTGCATGCAATTGGGTGGTTGCGGCAGGGAGGAGACGGTGGTGCTGTTGACCATGGGGTCAAACACAAACACTCGAGACGGGAACGGGGAGGAGGGGGAGGGGAGCGGGAGGTAGGTTGTTGTAGGAGGGATTGCACAGGGTGATTGGGTGGTGCCTAAATGAAGCAGATTGGAAGGTGTGATATGGGATGGACAACTGGTGCACATCACTCCCCCTCTCACACACCTAATCCTCACCCACCACCCTTTTAGTGTCAACTCCTCCACCCCCATCCTCCACTCCTCCACACCCATCCTTCACACCATCCATCCTTCACACCACCCATCCTTCACACCACCCATCCTTCACACCACCCATCCTTCACACCATCCCTCCTTCACACCATCCATCCTTCACACCATCCATCCTTCACACCATCCATCCTTCACACCACCCATCCTTCACACCACCCATCCTTCACACCATCCATCCTTCACACCATCCATCCTTCACACCATCCATCCTTCACACCACCCATCCTTCACACCATCCATCCTTCACACCATCCATCCTTCACACCATCCATCCTTCACACCACCCATCCTTCACACCACCCATCCTTCACACCACCCATCCTTCACACCATCCATCCTTCACACCACCCATCCTTCACACCACCCATCCTTCACACCACCCATCCTTCACACCACCCATCCTTCACACCACCCATCCTTCACACCACCCATCCTTCACACCACCCATCCTTCACACCACCCATCCTTCACACCACCCATCCTTCACACCATCCATCCTTCACACCACCCATCCTTCACACCACCCATCCTTCACACCACCCATCCTTCACACCACCCATCCTTCACACCACCCATCCTTCACACCATCCATCCTTCACACCATCCATCCTTCACACCATCCATCCTTCACACCATCCATCCTTCACACCATCCATCCTTCACACCATCCATCCTTCACACCATGCATCCTTCACACCATCCATCCTTCACACCATCCATCCTTCACACCACCCATCCTTCACACCACCCATCCTTCACACCACCCATCCTTCACACCACCCATCCTTCACACCACCCATCCTTCACACCATCCATCCTTCACACCACCCATCCTTCACACCACCCATCCTTCACACCACCCATCCTTCACACCACCCATCCTTCACACCACCCATCCTTCACACCACCCATCCTTCACACCACCCATCCTTCACACCACCCATCCTTCACACCACCCATCCTTCACACCATCCATCCTTCACACCACCCATCCTTCACACCACCCATCCTTCACACCACCCATCCTTCACACCACCCATCCTTCACACCACCCATCCTTCACACCACCCATCCTTCACACCATCCATCCTTCACACCATCCATCCTTCACACCATCCATCCTTTACACCACCCATCCTTCACACCATCCATCCTTCACACCATCCATCCTTCACACCACCCATCCTTCACACCATCCATCCTTCACACCATCCATCCTTCACACCATCCACCCTTCACACCATCCATCCTTCACACCATCCATCCTTCACACCATCCATCCTTCACACCATCCATCCTTCACACCATCCATCCTTCACAACATCCATCCTTCACACCACCCATCCTTCACACCACCCATCCTTCACACCACCCATCCTTCACACCACCCATCCTTCACACCACCCATCCTTCACACCATCCATCCTTCACACCATGCATCCTTCACACCATCCATCCTTCACACCATCCATCCTTTACACCACCCATCCTTCACACCATCCATCCTTCACACCATCCATCCTTCACACCACCCATCCTTCACACCATCCATCCTTCACACCATCCATCCTTCACACCATCCACCCTTCACACCATCCATCCTTCACACCATCCATCCTTCACACCATCCATCCTTCACACCATCCATCTTTCACACCATCCATCCTTCACACCACCCATCCTTCACACCACCATCCTTCACACCACCCATCCTTCACACCACCCATCCTTCACACCACCCATCCTTCACACCACCCATCCTTCACACCACCCATCCTTCACACCATCCATCCTTCACACCATCCATCCTTCACACCATCCATCCTTTACACCACCCATCCTTCACACCATCCATCCTTCACACCATCCATCCTTCACACCACCATCCTTCACACCATCCATCCTTCACACCATCCATCCTTCACACCATCCACCCTTCACACCAATCCATCCTTCACACCATCCATCCTTCACACCATCCATCCTTCACACCATCCATCCTTCACACCATCCATCCTTCACACCACCCATCCTTCACACCACCCATCCTTCACACCACCCATCCTTCACACCACCCATCCTTCACACCATCCATCCTTCACACCACCCATCCTTCACACCACCCATCCTTCACACCACCCATCCTTCACACCACCCATCCTTCACACCACCCATCCTTCACACCACCCATCCTTCACACCATCCATCCTTCACACCATCCATCCTTCACACCATCCATCCTTTACACCACCCATCCTTCACACCATCCATCCTTCACACCATCCATCCTTCACACCACCCATCCTTCACACCATCCATCCTTCACACCATCCATCCTTCACACCATCCACCCTTCACACCATCCATCCTTCACACCATCCATCCTTCACACCATCCATCCTTCACACCACACCATCCATCCTTCACAACCATCCATCCTTCACACCACCCATCCTTCACACCACCCATCCTTCACACCACCCATCCTTCACACCACCCATCCTTCACACCACCCATCCTTCACACCACCCATCCTTCACACCACCCATCCTTCACACCACCCATCCTTCACACCACCCATCCTTCACACCACCCATCCTTCACACCACCCATCCTTCACACCACCCATCCTTCACACCATCCATCCTTCACACCATCCACCCTTCACACCATCCATCCTTCACACCATCCATCCTTCACACCATCCATCCTTCACACCATCCATCCTTCACACCATCCATCCTTCACACCACCCATCCTTCACACCACCCATCCTTCACACCATCCATCCTTCACACCATCCATCCTTCACACCATCCATCCTTCACACCACCCATCCTTCACACCATCCATCCTTCACACCATCCATCCTTCACACCATCCATCCTTCACACCATCCATCCTTCACACCACCCATCCTTCACACCACCCATCCTTCACACCACCCATCCTTCACACCATCCATCCTTCACACCACCCATCCTTCACACCACCCATCCTTCACACCACCCATCCTTCACACCACCCATCCTTCACACCACCCATCCTTCACACCATCCATCCTTCACACCATCCATCCTTTACACCACCATCCTTTACACCACCATCCTTCACACCATCCATCCTTCACACCATCCATCCTTCACACCACCCATCCTTCACACCATCCATCCTTCACACCATCCATCCTTCACACCACCCATCCTTCACACCACCCATCCTTCACACCACCCATCCTTCACACCACCCATCCTTCACACCATCCATCCTTTCACACCATCCATCCTTCACACCATCCATCCTTTACACCACCCATCCTTCACACCATCCATCCTTCACACCATCCATCCTTCACACCACCCATCCTTCACACCATCCATCCTTCACACCATCCATCCTTCACACCATCCATCCTTCACACCATCCATCCTTCCACCATCCATCCTTCACACCATCCATCCTTCACACCATCCATCCTTCACACCATCCATCCTTCACACCACCCATCCTTCACACCACCCATCCTTCACACCACCCATCCTTCACACCACCCATCCTTCACACCACCCATCCTTCACACCACCCATCCTTCACACCACCATCCTTCACACCACCCATCCTTCACACCACCCATCCTTCACACCACCCATCCTTCACACCACCCATCCTTCACACCACCCATCCTTCACACCATCCATCCTTCACACCATCCATCCTTCACACCATCCATCCTTCACACCATCCATCCTTCACACCATCCATCCTTCACACCATCCATCCTTCACACCATCCATCCTTCACACCACCCATCCTTCACACCATCCATCCTTCACACCATCCATCCTTCACACCATCCATCCTTCACACCATCCATCCTTCACACCACCCATCCTTCACACCATCCATCCTTCACACCATCCATCCTTCACACCATCCATCCTTCACACCATCATCCTTCACACCACCCATCCTTCACACCACCCATCCTTCACACCACCCATCCTTCACACATCCATCCTTCACACCACCCATCCTTCACACCACCCATCCTTCACACCACCCATCCTTCACACCACCCATCCTTCACACACCCCATCCTTCACACCACCCATCCTTCACACCACCCATCCTTCACACCACCCATCCTTCACACCATCCATCCTTCACACCACCCATCCTTCACACCACCCATCCTTCACACCACCCATCCTTCACACCACCCATCCTTCACACCACCCATCCTTCACACCACCCATCCTTCACACCACCCATCCTTCACACCATCCATCCTTCACACCATCCATCCTTCACACCACCCATCCTTCACACCACCCATCCTTCACACCACCCATCCTTCACACCACCCATCCTTCACACCACCCATCCTTCACACCACCCATCCTTCACACCACCCATCCTTCACACCACCCATCCTTCACACCACCCATCCTTCACACCACCCATCCTTCACACCACCCATCCTTCACACCACCCATCCTTCACACCACCCATCCTTCACACCACCCATCCTTCACACCACCCATCCTTCACACCATCCATCCTTCACACCATCCATCCTTCACACCATCCATCCTTCACCACCCCATCCTTCACACCATCCATCCTTCACACCATCCATCCTTCACACCACCCATCCTTCACACCATCCATCCTTCACACCATCCATCCTTCACACCATCCATCCTTCACACCATCCATCCTTCACACCATCCATCCTTCACACCATCCATCCTTCACACCATCCATCCTTCACACCACCCATCCTTCACACCACCCATCCTTCACACCACCCATCCTTCACACCACCCATCCTTCACACCACCCATCCTTCACACCATCCATCCTTCACACCATCCATCCTTCACACCATCCATCCTTCACACCATCCATCCTTTACACCACCCATCCTTCAC